CGGCTTCTCAGTATCATGCAGCTCATGACCGTGTTATGACATACCTAGACTTCCAGAAATACAAAGACACACACACACACACACACACACACACACACACACACACAGACACACAATACAGCAGTCAATAGGAAATGAGATGTACTTAGGATGTCTGAGAAATGTGGAGTCCTCGTGAGTTAGTTATTCCTAGAAAGCCCACTGGCTGGCATTGAGCAGAAATCTTAGAGAAGTTGACTTTTCCCAAATGATTGCGCTCAGCTGGCCCAGGAGGGGTCGTCCCCAGGGATGACCTCTGAGTGGTCCAGGTTATATGCTGCACAACTCCCATCACGAGAAGGAGGCGGTTGGCCCCCACAGTGGAGCACAATTCAGCCTGCACAGCTATGGACTAGGAGGCTGTCTCAAACACTCTCTGTGGCCTGTGTCTTCAGTGCAGGACTGAGGGCGATTCCTCCTTCTTCCAAGACTCCTTTCATGTTTCATTCCCCCACAGAGGGTTGCAAACCTTCAGACCTCCCCCTCCACCCACAGACATGGCTGCCCCTGTTTCAGACCGGGAAGAGAGGGGTGATTACACAGAGGCTCTTCCCCTAAAAACAGTCTTTGATGAAGAGGAGAACGTGTGTGGTCTTCCTCGTTGCTCATTTGGGGAGGCAGCAATGAATCCGGAGAGGAACCTGTTGCATTAACGCTGGGACTACAATGCGGGGTGTGTGAGGGACTGCTTTTCCCAGGGGTTGCAAAAGTAGGAGAAAAGACATAATCATGTCCCCGTGACGTGAGTGACGGCAAGATGTGTAAGCAGGAAGCCCAGTGGGAGGCTGGCCCCACCTTCACCCCTTCGCCAGCGGCGTCCTCCGTGGGGAGTTTCTGTGTCCGTTTACATTTATGTAAAGCTGAGCAGTTCGGCAGCCCTTCAAGAGGAGCCCTGCCTGGAAGATGACATCGATGATGGAGATGATGGAGATAAGGGTGATGATGATGGTCGTAGCCATGGTTACCATGACTGTTACAGTTTCCTGATGTGCTGGCTCCTCTCTTCCATTCTTTCACTCAGTCTCATGCAGCTCCTCTTCCGGTTCTTGGAAGAGGAGAGCTTGGCTTGGTCCCCTGATTTGCCACTGACCCTAAGAAAAAGTTCTGCCCCGCAGTGGTGGCCCACACCTTTAACCCCAGCACTTGGGAGGCAGAGGCAGGCGGATCTCTGTGAGTTCGAGGCCAGCCTGGTCTATAGAGTGAGATCCAGGACAACCTCCAAAGCTACACAGAGAAACCCTGTCTCGAAAATTTAAAAAAAAAAAATTTTTAATTTAAAAAAATTAAAAAGTTAGCTTTTCTTTTGTTACAGTAACGAAAAGTTATCACTTTTATTAGCCAGTAATCCACAGTATCACTTTCCATTTCATTTGGGAATCTGTGTGACTGAACCGTGAGAGATTGCTTCAGGATGCTTCCCCTCCCCTGCTTCCTTCACACACTGCCCTGTGGCCTGAGGACATCGCCACGGTTAATCCCCACAATTCTTCACTTGAAAATTAATGTAAGCACCAACATTGGAGCATGTTCAACAGAGAGAATAAGTAAGGTTATTTTACAAGGCACAAGGAAATTGCTCATTCATTAATTCAGCCAACACCAAATGACCATCTGCTAGTAACAAATACCATGCCAGGCACAATAATACAGTTGAGAGGCAGAGCCGGGCCTTAAAGAGGACCACAGATGTAGAATGAGGTCTGAATATAAATTATGAAGGATGGAGGTTGTTGGCTTTGGAAGGACAGAAAAGCACCCATAGCAGAGTTCCTATGGCTATGTGTAGGAACTAATCAAATGGGAGGGGGAAAGACCTCAGGAGAGTTAGGGAGCATAGCAGAATGGGAGAAATATGAGCAACTTGTAATGCCTGGATGGTAGTATGAGCAACTTGTAATGCCTGGATAGCAGGGTACATGGAGGGGAAGGCAAGGTGAGAAATGGGCCATCCAGGGCAGCTGAAGACAGTATCCCAGCATGTGCTCCCAGAGTCTTATGACAACGCTTCACTGGAGGGTCTCTAAAGTCATTGATATTTATTGCCACACAATTGAAATTTAAATTCCATAGTGCAACAGCTAGGTTTCCATCTGAGGCTTGGTAAACTGCCATGAACCTTTGGACTTCTCCATAAAAACAAATATTATGAACTTTCGAAAGAAGTGTATATTCCCCAAACCAAAAGCTAGACCCTAGAGACTGAGCTAGGTCTAAGAAATGTACGTAAATAAAAGGACCTGATATCCCAAATTGGAAGAAAAATACTGCTCTCACATTCGAAAGGCACGTCCATATTTAAATTCTGACTGACTCATATTTTCTAGACAGGCTCCTTAGCGGGACCTCCCAGGGGTATGCCTTTAGCCTGGAGGCCTTCTCAGGTCCCTAGCAATTGTTTAATATGTCTATCTCACCCTCCTTCTCAGCCAGGAAGATTTAAAAGGAAAATGTGTAGCGTAAACAAACCTTAAATCTTATCCTAAGAATCTGATAATGGCATCACCAACAGGCCTTCCCAGTCTTGGTCTCTTGCATTCAACAAACAGACTTGAAATTTATTATAACACTCCATAGGTCACAAGCATCTCGAGTCACATCACATAAAATATTTTTAGATATTTTTAAGGAAAGGTCATCAGCACCGCAGTCTCCTTCCTTTTATAGTTAAGTTTACCCTGGGAAGCATTTCTTTTTTAATAATCTGGAATTTGCATTTGCATTTTCCATTTATGACCAAAACCCACAAAACCTTGAAGGTACCAGGACAGACGCTGGGGCCTTCTCTTCCTGCTTTCTGCTGGAGCCAGCGAGGCTCTGAACAAAGCCGTGAGAAGGCCACAGCACTTGAGGGCTGTGTGGCAGCAGATGTATCTCCTGCCTGACGGTGAAGCTGAAGGGTAGGAAGGAAATTCTACTCCAGCACCCCGGCGATCAAAGGGTACGCTCTTGAGAAATGGTGTGTGGAAAAAGGCCCTGAACAGATTTCAAGAGGCTCCTGCCAGCACCTCCAACAGCTCCTGCCATGTGTTGTAACCGCAGGACATTTGGCCATTTCAGAGCCTGCAGGGCCAATGTTTACCAAGCCCTGACATGCACAGAAGGAGCCAGGTGGCCCACCTGTCCTGATAAGGCAGTTCCTTGGAGTTAGGTTTCTATTCTGCTACCAGATGGGTCCCAGCGGAGCTTCCCCCACTCTGAAACAGCAGGGGTAGATATAATTGTATTTCATTTTTATTTAAAACGGCAATTTGGGAATTAAACATTGTTAACACAGATTTAAACAGAAGGAAATTTAAAGGAGCAGAACTCCAGGCTAGAATCAGTTGTGCTCTCCACCTTCCAAGGTTTGAATGTTTGGTGAAGAATGCCATGATTTAAGGCAGGGAGAAGGGACTGAGGCTAAAATCCCTCTAGGCGGGGTCACCCCTGAATAGCCTGGTTATCTAGTGGGAACGCTATCTCCTCACTAAAAGCCCGCGGCTCGATTAATGGGAGCATTTGAAAATCTGATCAGTCTGGCTGGTGGGCAGCCAGGGAATGTGTTTTCTGTTTATCTCAATAGTGGCAGACATGTTCATCCTAGAAAGGCCGTGAGTGGCTTCCAGCAGCCCGGAAGCAGGGCTGAAACACTGTGAGGTCTTTGGTGGTGTACACCAGCTCCTCAAACAGGAAGGAGGCCCCACCCTAGGTTGACAGCCAGTGGCCTGGGTTGCACAAGAGGTGGATCTCCCCATGTTGCTCCAGAAGGAAGTTTTACCACCCCCATTAGCTTTATCTCACAGGAATGCAGCTGGGGTCTGAGCTCCTCCTCGACGGTACAGACCTCAGTAAATTACCAAGGTCTTGACCCAAGAGATGAGAAGTCCTAAGTGATTTTTCAGTCTCCTATCTAAAGATGTGTTTACATTTCTTGAACTCTGGCTGACTGACTCATTCCCCTGCTGTTGCAAGAACTCCCCTTATGCGTTAGGATTTATGCATTTCTTTTCTGAAAGGCCCAGAGTTTTTTTCCAAGTCACTGTGACGTGAACCTCATCGAAACACAAGGCAGCTGGGTGGGTGGCTCTGTCCTGGGGTTGGGTCCCGGCCAGGCAGCTGGGATGTGGCAAGCCTAAGTGAAGCCAATAGGGGGTGGTGTGGGGCAGTGTGGAAGGAAGGCACAGGACACAGCGCAGGGCACCTGGGCTCTGGTTCCTGGCCGAGCTCTCATAAGGTGTAGGCTTGAACCCACACAAGCCCATTCCCTGAGAAATTTTCCCCCATCTGATTTAAGCAGCTGGGCGGAGGTGGGGCACGCCTTTAATCCCAGCACTCGGGAGACAGAGCCAGGCGGATCTCTGTGAGTTCGAGGCCAGCCTGGGCTACAGAGCGAGATCCAGGACAGGCACAAAGCTACACAGAGAAACCCTGTCTCAAAAAGAAAAAAAGAAAAAGGAGATTACAAGCTAATGCCACTTTGGCTCATGTGGAGTGTGCCCTCATGCCCACAGCCACACTGACTTTTGCCTCTCTTCCTACACTGGCTCACTCTCCTGCTACCCTCCACATTGAGGGGCAGGAGAAAATCTCTGCTCTCTTCCTGAAAGCTTTCAGAAGCATTTTCCCATTTCAGCCAAGTGTGATCATACAAAATTTATATTCAACAGCATCAGCAGTTTCTTTTACATCAATATTTCCTTTTTAATTTCAGCTTTTATCTGAATTCCAATAGCACAAAGTATCTACTTTTGTTCTTTTAAAGACCAATGAAAAGAAATCAAAATCTGAATATAAAGCTTAGCCCCACTCAACAAGGTGTTTAGACATGTCTACAGAGACTATGGGTTATACTTGGTACTGCCATACGCCTGTGCTTATAATCTCCAAATGCACATGAGCTAAGCATGTACGGATATGGTTCGTATAAAAGTTCATGAGACCCGGAGCTGACCCTTGACCCCCTTTTCTCTCTTTCACCGCAGCAAACACTGAATCCAGAACCAGTCTTCGAGATCCTTATGCAGCCTCCTCACCTTTGACTCAAGCAACAGAGACTCAGGTACAGTATCGCCTCTGAATGAGCACAGCCCTGGAGTCGAGACTTGTCCGGGGGTTCTTGTCCTAACTTGCTGCGTGACCCTGAGTGAGACTCTTATCTCTTGGGGCTCATTTGTCTCATCAGTAAAATGAGCAAGGTAAACTGTTACATCACCGGGTTCCTTTACTCTCGAGCTTGGGATCTGGAGTCTATTGTGTGGTTCTTTGTGTGAAGAGGCAAAGCAGACTTTTCCCAGACTTCTGCAAAGTCAGAAAGGGAACACGAAGGCAACCGGCAAAAGGTTCACATTTTCCTCCCAAGTGGGGAGAGAAAATGGCAATTACGTCTGTTATTGTTTTTAAAGCATCAAGGATAGGATCTGGAGAGATCTCCGTTGGTAAAGCGCCTGCCGTGCGAGCATGAGGGTCTGAGTTCAGATCCCCAGACCCCATGTAAAGAGCCTGGCAGGACAGTGGCTACATCTGTAATTGCAGTGCTGAGGGAGATGAGGAGGAGACCGCAGATCCCTGGAGCTCACCGGGCAGCCCGCCTCGCTGAATGATGAGCTCCAGGTTCAGTGAGAGACCCTTTCCACAAATAACACAGAGAACGATAAAGGAGACGCCTGGCCTCCATACACATGCAAGCACCTCCATGCACACACCCATACACACACACACAGCCATGCACACACACTCATACACACACACACACAGTCATGCACACACCCCCACACATACACCCATACATACACACACCCATGTACACACATAAACACATACCCATGCACACACACACATACCCATGCACACACACACCCACACATACACACAAAGAAGAAAGGAAGGCGCCGATTTGGATGGCTTAGGAATATCTAATGATTCAAGGAAATATGTGCAGAAACAGCGATAAGTAGGCCTCCATCGGAAGCTCTGAGGGTGACACTCTCTTCAGTATCTCTCAAGAGAAAGAATTCCTAGAGCTGAACTCAGGGACTGGGAGACCTGAGGCTGACCCGGCTGTCACCGCTCCAGGGGACTCAGGCCTCTCCTACAGCCTGAGGGGCAGGCTCTCCATTCCTCTCTTATCTTCAACTTCCTGAGCGGCCACCGGCCACCGGCTTTTCCTCTCTTTCCAGGCACTTGGTAACAGTCAGGACAGGAGTGAGTCTGTGTGCAAGCGTGTTTGAGTTGAGATCTCACGGTTAGAAACGCCAGACTTGAGTCAGGCCTCCACTGAAGTAAAGCACAGCTGGGCCACCTCTCTGCTACTGAGGAACCACAGAAAAAAACGTGTGTGTGTGTGTGTGTGTGTGTGTGTGTGTGTGTGTGTGTGTGTGTGTGTTTAATGCCTCCGTTGAAGACACTCTTCACAGGGGATCTGAAGACCTTAAGTAATAACAGTTGCAATAATAGAGTTGTGACTAAGAAAATACCATATATTTTGGTAATCCCACAGCTCCAAGGCCATGCAAACACCTCCAGTACTCCCAGCATGGTCCCAGCTCAGGCGGCCCTGTGGCTGTCCTAGAGGAGGCTAATTAACAACTAGACCAAATTACGGAACTGTGCAGTCAGACTGAACGCAGACTTCGGGTCTTAAGCTCCAACCCTGGCTCATCTGCAAGGTCTTGGCAAGTTCACCAACTCTTGAGACAGTCCTGGGCTTGCTTTGCAAAACGGAGGAGGGCCTACAGGGGCTTGGAGGGACCTGGAGAGCAGCGCTCCAGCTACAGTTGGCTTCTGATGTATGTGGTTTGTTGGCATCACCCTAGACCTCCTTCCTTAAGAAGGAACCCCGGAAGAGAAGCCATGAGGAAAAGTCTAGGGAGCCCCACCAGCCCCCAAGCCAAGAAAAATGGGGTGAATGGTGCAGAGGGGCTTCCTCCAGCCCCTCTCTCTCTCTCTCTCTCTCTCTCTCTCTCTCTCTCTCTCTCTCTCTCTCTCACACACACACACACACACACACACACACACACACACACACACACACCCCCGACTTCTTGAGGCTAGCAGCCCTTTATTAGGTTAATCACTGCGTCGGATTTTAACTACTTCCTCAACCCACTCCACATAAGTGACTAATTTCATGTTTACTATAAAGCATCTGGGAAGGATTTAGAAACAAATTTCTACCCAGCAGAGTTCAGTGTCCTACCTTGATGGGTCACGGGCCCAAGCCGTGGCTTCCCTGCCTCTACCAGGGCCTTTCTTGCCCTGAAGCACAAAGTTGGCTGGCAAGAGCAGCGGCTGTGGCAGCAATAGAGCCCCTTCTTCCTTCTCCTCCTCCCTCCCTCTATACCATAAGATCTCTCTCTCTCTCTCTCTCTCTCACACACACACACACACACACACACACTCTCACACTCTCTCTCTCTCTCTCTCTCACACACACACACACACACACACACACACACACACACACACACACACACACACACACACACACACACACACACACACACACTGTCCAAGTCCCCTGGGTCAGGAGGCTGCCTCGGGCGCCCCCTCCCGGCAGCATTGAAAACCTCCGCTCTGAGTCTTCAGCCGCGGCCTCGCTAGGGCCAGGGCAGAAAGGGCGAGCGGAAGCCTGCCTCCCTGTACCATCATCTCCAGGGAGAGGTGCCTGCCTCCCTGTACCATCATCTCCAGGGAGAGGTGCCTGCCTCCCTGTACCATCTCCAGGGAGAGGTGCCTGCCTCCCTGTACCATCATCTCCAGGGAGAGGTGCCTGCCTCCCTGTACCATCTCCAGGGAGAGGTGCCTGCCTCCCTGTACCATCATCTCCAGGGAGAGGTGCCTGCCTCCCTGTACCATCATCTCCAGGGAGAGGTGCCTGCCTCCCTGGACCATCATCTCCAGGGAGAGGTGCCTGCCTCCCTGTACCATCTCCAGGGAGAGGCCCCAAGGCGCCCCTTCCTCACCTAGCCTGAGGTCCAGGGCCGCAGCGCGAAGTGCATCGGTTCAGTGAGCGCCGCAGCGGCCATCAGCAACTTCCTTGGAGCTAGAGGAGGGGGTTAAGTCGGAGAAAAACTACAAGGGGAGTGTGAAGATAAAAAGGGCGATGAAAAAAGAGAAAGGAGACGCGCAGACGTGTTTCAACTCCAAGCTCCCATTTCCCCTTTCAAATGAACGGCCTCCCCACTGTGAGCAGAATCAAGTATTTATGAAGGCATTTTTTGCATATTAATAGCTGCATGGGGATGGGGCCGTGCCGGCTCTTCAGTCCTAAAGGTATGGTGCCCTTTTTTAATACAGGTCTTCCCAGCGCCTCACAGAATTTGGTTCTTCAGATTTATTTCCCCTTCTGCCTGGTGGCTCCTCCTGAGGCCCTACAACTGATTAAGAGAAATTAGTTCCTGGGTTGTCTCCTGAGACCCGGTACTGCTCATCCCTCCGTGGGTCGCTGACATCAATCGCTGGAACGCCTTTCCTTTCCCCGGGGCCTCTGTGGAGAGGCTTGAGGTTGGGTGAGGTGACCGGCACCTAAAAAGAATGTTAAAATTGTAAATTAAAGTTCCAGAAGGAGGTGTTCATACATCTGTGTAGTGAGAGGAGAAAAGTAAAACTAAAAAGAAAAAAAAAAATTCCATCATTTCATTAACGTTGATAGATAGTGCTGTCTATCCTCGCTGAGGGTTGCACTTCATTTTAAAAGGAAAACATTGAGAGTTAGAAACATATGCAAAAGACATAATTCATATAAAAATAATAGTAGCAGGCAAGCATGTGGGCTATAACCTAGTGGTAGTGTTTGCCTACCAGGGGCAAGGCCCTGGGTCTGATCCCGAACCCCCACGCCCCACACACAGGCACACAGGTGGCAGGGTAGGAGATGTAGTTCCGCTGATTGAGGGCTAGCCTAGAATGCACATAGGCCTGTGTTTGATCCTGGGACCACATAAAACCAGGCACAGGAACACATCCCTTCAATACCAGCGCTTGGGAGTGAGACAGAAGGTTCAGAAAGTCAGGATCATCCAGGACATAGCGAGTCTGAGCCAGGCGGAGACCTGTGACTTTCCTAGAATCTGTGATTTCACACGAGGCAATAGTGAGGTTGGAGCAGCCACTTGGCGAGGAGGGAGGGGCCAGCCTGGGCAATGCCGGCCACACCCTTGGCTTCCACTCACTAGATCCACTATTGTGACAGTCAAAACGTTTCCACACGTTACTGAATGTTCCCTGGGGAGCAACTGAACCCAGCTTTTTCTCTTTCTCTCTTTTTTATTCCTTTCTCTTTTTTTTTTTTTTGTTCTTATTATTGTTTGTTTTTGAGACAAGGTCTTACTATGTACCCCAGGCTGGCCATCCTCCTGCCTCACTGAGATTATGGGCATATGCCACCACACCTGCTGTCTTAGCTAGGGTTTCTGTTGCTGTGAAGAGACACCATGACCATACAACTCTCATAAAGTGAAACATTTCATTGGCATAGCTGACTTACAGTTCAGAGGTTTAGTCCACTATCATCTTGGTGAGACATGGCAGCATGCAGGCAGCCATGGTGCTGGAGAAGTAACTGAGAGCCCTACATCTTGCAGGCAACAGGAAGTGGTCTGTGACACTGGAAGTAGCTGGAGCATAGGAGACCTCGAAGCCCACACCCACAGTGACACACTTCCTCCAACAAGGCCACATCTCCTAATAGTGCCAATCCCTTTGGGGGCCATTTTCTTTCAAAACATCACACCCACTTTGACTGAATATTTTGAAAGTGCAAATCAAGTCAGGCAGTAGTGGCGCACGCCTTTAATCCCAGCACTTGGGAGGCAGAGTCAGGCGGATCTCTGTGAGTTCGAGGCCAGCCTAGTCTACAGAGAGATCTCCAGGACAGGCACCAAAACTACACAGAGAAACTCTGTCTTGAAAAACCAAAAAAAGTTCTATTGAACTTGAAAGATGCCCCTTTTCCTTAGCTCATTCCTATTTCCACCTACCCTAACTAGTTTAGGTTCAGGTGAGCTTACTATAATATAAATTTGTATTTAATCTTACGTGTCTTAAGTTTATCATTTTTGG